GAGAGAGAGAGAGAGAGAGAGAGAGAGAGAGAGAGAGAGAGAGAGAGTTTTATGCACATTCATTATTGAACTAGATACAGCGTTTCTTGATATTCTTTGTACAGTCGTTTACTTCCTGTACGTAGACTCACCCTCGGCAGCGACCTTTGACCCTTGATGAAGCAGTCAGTCGATAAGGTGGAAAGTTCTGAACACTCAGCAAATTCAGAGCGGGTTAGAGCAGGGAGCTGCGAGACGGTGCAGGATAAAAGGAGTGGCTGCGGGAGCGACGGACGGCCTTCTGACCTCCGCCCTCCGCCCGCTCTTTTGTAGCACATTGTACACGATCAAAGACCACTTCGGAGGAGAGCGGAGATGAGAGGCGGCCCTGGGCCGGAGCAGGAGGTTAGTCTGTCAGGAAGGCAACTTCAGCGCCCCTCCTAAGACCTGCTGCACCACAGGGTGTCTGCGGAAAGCCTCATTAGTAATTCTGATTGTGAAGAGTCAGCAGAAATAGAGAGCTGGTGTATATCAAGGTGTTGAGGTAAAAACCGAGTGAGATCACTGTAAGAAAAAGACTGTGTGTGAGAAGTGGACGTAGTCACCATGCAGCACCCGTTGGTTTGTGGACTGGCGTTTTTCAAGCCTTGAGTTTTGCATTTTGGCCGTCTCCATCTTGGCTTCCGAGCAACCAGAAGTGACGCGAGAGGGTGGAGGAAGACATTTTTAGGCGACCAAAAATGTTACAATTAACTTTCACGAAGTGAAAACACACTGTTAACAGGTAAAAAGTTCTAAGACGAAAACACAGACAACTCCCAGAACGGACAACGCTGTGGTAGCGACCTGTCAATCACAAGGTAGCCCCGCCCTAAAGCATACCCTAGCTTTATGGTCTATAATGGGACCATAATTTACAAAATGAACATCATGCTGTATTAAAGAAGACTTGAAACTAGCGATTGAGACCATAAACTCATGTTTACAATGTTTACTAAGGGAATAATAGAAGTAGAGTCATTTTCCCATAGACTTCTATTCAATCAGACTTATTTTTGCAACCGGAAGAGGCGCCCTCTGATGGCCAATAGAGAGAATGCAACTTAAAGGCCCTTCAGCATTGGCTTCACTTTTCAGAGCCGGATGTTGCTGCCTGGCACTTTCACATCGTTCTTTGCAAGAAGAAGTCTGGCCACAACCTGGCTGGAGGCCTGTTGGGGAGTCCTAATGGTGCAGACACAGTGTGTTTTCACCATGGGTCGAACCATTTAGCACCAGATACAGATCATTAACCCCAGATGGGAGTCATTTTTCTGCTGCTAATGATGTCTTGTCTACCGCGTGTGTAACTAATGCTTTACATTGGCCAAATGAACAACAGCTACTGTAAAACAAGAGTTGAGGCTGTTCATGCAGAACAATACAGTAGTATTTGTGTACCATACAGCTGAAGTACTGCATGGCTCCCTTTAAATCCTTTATCCTGTACAGGATGTAGTATGGTGAGTTCTTTAGCTTTGATTAGGTAGACGGGAGCTTTTTGCCAGCAAACTGCCACACGTGTCAAATAAAAAGAGTTTTAGCATTACTTTTATTTTCACTTCGGGACAACGGCTGTGTCTTTGATAGTCCTATTGGTCTTGTTTTGTTTCTTTTGGCCGACCCTGGTCTGTACAGTGAGGCTGTTTATTTGGGGGAAACAAAAATCTGGGAGTCGAGCTACATTGTTGCTCACATTTGGGAGAAGAAAAAAAAGGCACTACCCTTCTTCTCATTCACATCACACTGGACTTGCAGTACAAAGTTAAAGGAAACCAGGGACACAATTTCAGGAAGTTTTCTTTGGCCCGCAGAGAAAACCAGAGAGGAGGTTTTTATGCAATTCCATTTTTAGTAGCGTCAGAGGTTTTGGGGTGAGCGGTCGGGTTGGACAAAGGAGGGCCTGGCTGAAACCGCAACATGTGTGTGTTTTCTGCCTCTGGGCTGGATGTGGTCTCTGGGTCTTGAGCACACAGGAAATGGTCTGTGCTGTCCGGCTAACAGGTGCAAGCTATGCAATGAACGGCCCCGGTATTACCCAATTATCATTTAGAAATAGGACAATTTAAGATTTAAACTTAAGTTGTCCCTTGGAATGCTTTGGTCTGCATGTGACATCCTTCCCTTTTTTTCCCAACTAGCAAACCCTCATCCTGTGAACAACATAAACAACCTCGTCCCCATTGTAATTAGTCATTTTTCCTTGGAAGGTGCAGGTTTAGACAGACGGCTTTCAAAACAAATGCTTGAGCAGCACATAATGTCAGTAGATAGACAGACATGTATACATATATATATATATGTAAATAGTAATCACTCACTTAACTGTCGTCTCTGACTCTGTCTCTCTCTGTCTCTCTCCTCCAGGGACCTGAGGAATAATTTGATAAGTACAGTGGAGCCCGGGGCCTTCCGTGGTCTGCTGGCTCTGAGGAGACTGTAAGTATGATGAAGCCCTCTAATAGCCTTCTCCAGGGGACACGGGGACAAGTCCTCTGGCTTTAGAGACAACTAGGAGAGTCTAAAGTACAGAGTGAAGCGAGGACTGAAAGGTTTAGCTGAGGCAAAAGTACTAAAACTACTATTTCAGCCTTTTCTGAGGCAATGTTTAGTGAAGGCACAATGGCCTTCCTTCACGTTAATAGAGACACATTTGCCAGCGGGAGCTTCCTGGTGTAACCACAGTCTGCAGGATTAGGGGGTTCTCATATTTTGCTGGAGGGCACATCAGCAGGAGGTGTTAAGGAAGGGGATAGCGTTTGTCATTCACTTACTCCTCTGGGATTTTAGGGATTAGACACTGATCTTCTGACAGGTAATGTGTTAAAGCGAGACTAGGTAACCTTTGCTAAAGGCACATTGGGTTTTTCCCATCATCCTTAAATCAGTTGCTTTAAAAGTGCTAAACGTGAAATTGAGAGAATATCTATTGCCTCTCAATGGCTCTCAGCATGGCGACGGCAAAAAAAACAAAAGCGTGCTTGTGTAAACATAGCTGCGGTGGCCGATTGAATTAGGTTTCACTTTTGTTTACATGTTCACAGATTTATTAAATAAGTATTGGCTTTTTGCTCGCAAATATTTTATTGCACGTACAGTAACAAGCGTAGCTGGCGACAACTCGAGTATCTTCACTTCACCACAGCGGCGTGTGTGTGTGTGTGTGTGTGTGTGTGTGTGTGTGTGTCCAAGTGTGTGTGCGTGTAGTTGGAAGAGCTCAGCCCAACAGAAAGAGCAGAGCAAATGTGAGCTGCAGAGAGATAATAAATGATACCAAATCATTAAAAAGTACGAATAAAAAACACCAGTAAGCTCGGGGCTTATCAAAACTACGATTTTTAATAATTTAGCCCGTTTAATACCACGTTTCGGAACGCATCACTACCTTCAGATAACGTAAAATGCGAATGGCTCTCGCTGGAGCTAGTGTCCGTTCTGGCCTGCTGTACAGACATGGCGGTGCAAGATGGCGGACTCCGGGGAAGACGACCCGCTCCCCATGTAGATGTAGGCCAAAAGATTTCATGATGTATTATCATGAAAGAAAAGTTTTAATGAAATACTGAAAATAATTCTTTCAGTCAAATTCATCTTGACTTTTGTTTATTGTGCTTTTATTTGCTTTTTTGACGAATAGGTTTCACCCAAAATGTGAGTGTAGGGAGGTGTAGAGAGAGTCTGTTTCAATAACGGTATACATACATGTATTTAGAGGTGTTGGATTACTTACACAAAATATTCATATGTGTATTATTAACATGATATCAATATTACATTTTTTTAATATCAAGTTTATCGTCAAAACCAGTACATCGCGACAGCCCTAATTTGGCTTCTTTATATCTGCTGGTTCTTATGAACAATAAACAAACTTAGACTGTAAAATGACATAAAACTCCTATGATCCCACTTGCAACGTAAACATGCACAAACAAATCATTTTGGCCGTAGAAAAAAAGCACGAGGGTTATTTGTCTTCTTTTTTTGTTTTTTTATGTTTTCTACTCAAGTCATTTTCCCGTCCATTACTCTCATCCGGGCATTCTACATATAGCCTCCAGAGTGAGTGACATGATTGCAGCCTGATAGTTAGTGGGATCTGGGCTGGCAGGGATGCAGGCGATGAGTTAGCCGCGATGATTCGGGGCGCGTGTGCGCCAAGCTCGGGGAGCAGCAGAGTGCTAATTTAAGTGCTCCCCAACTGGTGATTACTCGAGTGCTCTGCTTATTTTCCCACAGCTGCTCCGGCAAAGCAGCTCTTTAATTACAGAGTGCGAGGGCACAGAGCCACGGACGCGACAGCGATCAGCCACTCCGCGTGCGGAAGCCCGCTGTATTTGCGCGTGTGTGTGTATGTGTGTGTGCCAGCGATGGTTATATGAGGAGTGAAAGGTTACAAAAGGTCAGGAGAGCTATTCCAGGAAGTGGAGCCGATGAATGAACATGCTTTTCTAACACCTTTCACAGCTGTTTAAGTTCTCTGTGTTTTAACAAGGTGAGCATGCAAGAACACTAACGCAGAAACATATTGTAAGTTGTGTCTCGGGTTCTGACTATAATGTCCGTAGAATGGATGTTCAGAACTCAAATGTTCTTTATTTTTTTCTTTCATTTTGTCCCCATAGGGACCTGTCCAACAACAGGATTGGCTGTCTCTCGCCTGAAATGTTTCTCGATCTGGGCAGCCTCTCAAAATTGTGAGTAATCCCCTAAATTGAAAACATGCGTTTGCACAGCTTTGTGCCCAACTTGCATAGCCTGTACAGAAACACGGCGTTTGATATGGATTTAGTAATGTCTACAGTCGTTTTGGCTTTGATGCATGTGTGTGTGGAGTGACCCGTTTCTGTCTGACAGGAACTTATCCGGGAACATCTTCTCCACTCTGACCGCGGGACTCTTCACGCACCTCGTGGCTCTCAGAGTGCTGTAAGGCAAACCCACACATTCATACCATGTACACAATTCATTCAGTTGTGGTTGAGAATTAAATCAATTCAATTTTTGGACTTATTATAGCAGGAAAGGCACACGTGTGACTAATGACATTAACGTTGGCTCCGTTCCGTGTGAGTGAGTCAGCATGCACAATACCTGTGCCCTGGAGCTGCCACACTAATTCAATCAATTACACCTGTGTTTTTTTTTTCCTCCTGTTATGACTTGTCCAAAAGCCTGCTGTCCGCCTAATGGATGAATGAAAGGCACTCAAATCCAGTAACACAAGAACACAGGTTGTAACCGTTTGCCGGCTCTCTCTCCCACCAGGCACTTTGGCACCGAGACTTTGTTCTGCGACTGTCAGCTGAAGTGGCTGCTCCTCTGGGCCCAGAGCAATTCGGTGAGGATTGGCAACGACACGGCTTGCGTGTTCCCCACCCACCTCCACGGGCTGGAGCTTCGCAACCTCCGCGAACAGCAGCTCAGCTGTGGTAAGGACCTAGAGTACCATAACGGTGTGACGTAAAGATAGTGTGGGCGCTCTTAAAATGAATGAGGGAAAGGAAACATGTGTTAAGAAAGCATAGCATTGACAACACAGTGTTCAACATATGATACATTGGGTAAAAATAAGAAAACAATTAAAATAGTTTTTCCAGTTTATTAATTAACATTTTCTGCGGGTTAATTGTATTTTGTTGCCAGCTTCACACCTAGCTAGCTAGCACTAGCGTGTGCATTAGCTAGACACCAATAGCTGTAGGGTTAGCCTTTTTGTTTGTCGCTAGCTCTACATCCAGCTTGCTAACACTAGCTCTATACCCAACTAGCTAACACTAGCTTGCGCATTAGCTAGCTGTAGGGTTAGCTGTTTCACTAAAAGTTTTGAAAGGTAAAAACTTTTGCTAATGTTTGATGTAGCCTACCCTTTTACTTGTAGCATGTAGCTCAAAACACATGTCACTGATACTCACTTATACCATTAAATCAAAAAAATATGGGCTACAACAAGAGTAAATGTTATGTTATTTACATGTCCAGTGTTATTATAATTATTCCTAAGTAGTGTTATGTCATTATGAAAACTTGAATTAACATCATAGTAACAGTACTTCATTTTTTACTTCATCAGACTGAATTTGTAGCAAAATACAGCATATAAATCAATACATTTTGGGTACATTTATCTTGATTTTTGAAGATAAGCAAACTGCAATTGTCAGGAAAAAAAATAGCTGTAAGCAATTACAACTCCTGAAAGAATTGAGCTCAGGGAGAAATTAACATTACTTGTAACAGGTTTTGAAGTGGATCATTGTATTTGAGAGAATGATGCCTGGGCTGTGTAATTCTCTGTGTAAAAAAACATGTGAATATTGAACGCGATGTGACCCGGTTTCCATGAGATTTAAGGATTTAAGGATAGAGATAGAGCATAGGTACAAGGGACGTGTCTGTTACAGGACCTCGGGTATGCTGGGACACTTATTTTAAGCTCTTGAATTTGACATGTTTGCAGTGAAGGAGCAAATATTCCATCCAGATCCAATTGTTTCATAAAATGAACATTTTGCTGAGCCAGAAGTAACCGATAACACAAAGGAATATCTTTACACTTGAGGAATACCTCCCGAGACTTCTTCATTAGCATTTCACAAACATTGCATGTTCAAGTGGCTAGCACAATGAGAACATGATTAAGTAGATCTCTTCTGATAATAGATTTCCCTCTCCACTGTTATCTCTCCACTTGCTGTGAACTGTTTGACAAGCCTAATATAAGGCAATGATTTAGTGCAAAATTGCTCAGAGAAAAAGCCCCAGGCAAAAAAAAAGGGTCTCATGATACAGTTTTTGTGCGGTGTTCGCCCTATTATGCACTACGTGCCACCCGTGTTTAAAAGCCAGAGGAAGGGAGCTCACGCTGCAGGAGCTGCTCGTTCAAAAACGTCGGATCACAGAAATCCGTGCCGGGAAAATAAATGAGCGACGCTCTCTCCTGCCTCTCGGATTCCTGTCAAAGTGCATAACACTTGAGCTGGTAGCTGCTGCACTGAAGTTGCTCTGTGGCCGGTGGTAGAAGGCAATCGATGAGGTGGCCAGTTGTGGAAATGTCTGAATGTGCAGCAAGACGTTGGTGGACAAGATCCGGTATGCTCAGCAAAAACCTTCTCAATTGGCCACTTTTAGACTAAATGAGTCTGAGGACGTTGCAGCATGGTGTCCGTCAGCAGTGGGTGCATCAAACAGAGTTTTCAAGTAAAACAGAGTGGCGTCAGTAAAGAGGAATCCAAGAGCCTTTCCTCCCTCTCTCTCTCTGACAGACCAGTTACAGACAAGCAATCTCCCCCGTGCCTCCCTCCTCGTCTCCCCTCCGTTGCTCTATCTCCCTGCTCCGTGCGGCAGCCCACGGGGGAATTGTATCTCATATGTGATAGAATCATCCTCTTCTTCTCCTTACATCTGCTTCACGCTGGGGATATTGCTCCGGAATGAGAAAATCATCGGGGTGTGTTTGTGGTTTGTGCAGGCGCGGGAATATGTTTAAAAGGGGGGGGGGGGGACATTATATGAAGATGTGACACAGTGTGCAGAGGACTAACGAGGATAACAAGTGTGTCCCAGGCTGCGGCCTGTGCATGGGCACACAGACGCCATCGTCCTGACAAGCGTGCCCCACAGACATTTTAGTGTCATTCTATGTAATCGTAATTGTATGTGTTGTTATTTAATTTGCACGGAACAATCCAAAGCAATTACAGGCTAATTCTGAGCCCCCGAGAGGAATCCAGTGGCGGGACGAGGAGCGCTTCTTTTCAGACCATAAAGCAACCTTTGTGGCAACCTTACAACGATAACGTTCTCCCGGCTCTCGCCGTCCACCTCTACGTAGCTCCACTCCATCTTGCAATACCTCCCTCATTCACTTGGCAACCAACCCAATTGGATGAGGCGTGGTGCTCCAACAGCATATTTTTTAAATGTCCTTCGATGTCTGTTATTTTCACGAGGCTTCATTTTGTGAGGGAATGTCGTACCGCGGCGCTCGCAGGCCGGGACCTTGTTAAGGCTGCTGCGGATGGAATGTTGCTCAGCACCTGATGCCAGGTTCTCGTAATCAAGAAAAATGATGGGACAGGGTGAAAATATCCCTCTTCCACACTCGCATAACATCGGAAATATTAATATATCTCCGCTGAGATACCACCCACCCCCCCATAGTTTTTTTATGAAGAAGTGTCATAAGAGATGCATCTGTTTCTTCCTGCAGCGGCTGCAGCTTGATGGGTAGCAGATGTCTGCGCCGTGCATTCCAGCAGAGAGCCCGTGTCCCTAACGCTGATACGGGTCGGGTACCGCCCGCAAATGAGGGGGAACGGAGGAGCGCGTGCAGCTTCCTGTCAGGATCAGGTGCTTCCTGTGTCGAGGTCAGGGCGGCCGTCTGTTCGGCTCGTCTAGCCACGGCCCTCTGGTTCTTTAACACCGCTGGGTCGAGAGCCACAGCACAGACAACAGAGCCCGGAGCCAACACGTCGTTCACTGCAGGACAAGCCTCTGCTCTCTGTAGCCGAGGATTTATTGCATGATGACACAGCAGTGCAATTGCCCTTTATGGGCGTCGTGTCATTAAATAAAATTTCACATGCAGGGCCATGTCTTTAAGCCCGTGGTGCGCCTCTGGTGATTTAATGATATAAAAACATCATGAAATATTACTTACGGTAGTCTGTCATATGGCTCTTTGAAGTTCAGTCACACACCTTTTTTATTTTTTTCAAACCAGTTGCTTTGAGAAAGGGATAATGAAGTCTATGAAGTCTATAGACACAGTAGTCAGTCTGTGAAATGAGAATGTCTGCTGCTTTAGTTTCAAAGCCGTTTCTTTATGGATCAAAATCTAAATAACACCTTTTGTTGTGTAAAGAAACAGGAATACGTTCTGTCCATACCAGTCACTTTTTCTTTCTTCTTCTTTTTTTAGAGGTCTTCATAAATGTGATGGTTACCCTAATAATAACTTATTATGGAGCCTGGCATGTGAATAATTATAGACCGTTATGATTGCTTTTCATTAATAAATTGGTAGATTTAAAATGCTTTTAAAGATTGAAGAATTTAATTTGTATTTAAAGGATTGGCCTCAAACCACACATTGTTCCTGCTGAAACAGCTGGCCAATCAAAGCTTGTGTGTGGGTCAAACTTTCAATTTTTAGGTCACACTCATGCGACGCATGACATTATATGTACGCATGTCATGCGTACATATAATGTTAAAGAGTGTAAACATTAAAGCAGGAAACAAATGAAGATGAGTACGAAATGTGTATGAACGTGAGATGGTGTGTGATAGGCGTACAATTAAGTAAATCAAATAACAAAGCAAAAATCTTTGAAAACATTTCTATTCTAAAACACAATTAACAATTCATAATTTAAAGAGAATAGAATAGAGAAATACAATTATTGCTTGGCAAAACGTTGTTCTGTCGACACATTTTGGATGAACGAACGCGGTCGGTGCTAACCGCGTTACCAAGCCCGTTACGTTTCCTGTGGGCTGCTTCACAATAAGAGCCGCTCCGTGTGGAGCAGCATCAGCGGTGATGCACATAGAGCATTTCTAGTTGGATCGAACAATGAAAAAAAAAAGTCGAATTATTGAGCTGCATGATGACATATTCTCAACGGAGCGTTGTCCTCTCCTCCCTCCTCCCCCACACTCTCACACACTCACAAACAACCAATAATTGCATTTTGCTCTGGCAGTGGCCAACGGCCGAAGGCGAGCAGCCACGCTCTGATCCTTGGCTCAAAGTGTTGTTTCAACAGTATCAGCATCAGCCAAGTCAACAGTCAACAGCCCCCCCGTGGTGTTTCACCCGCAGGAGGCTACTGTCGCCTTCGCACGCGTCAGCTCGACGTAGAAAATTGAGGTCGCAGCTCTGCATGTGTTAATAGCCGTGATTGCGGAGTGGGGTTATGTACGACCATAAACAGTCACGCTCGCCACTCTTTTCCTGTGTTGAGTTGTGGGCCGGAGACGTTCAAGCACCTGACATAGATCTTTCACTCTTTTTTACTTTTTTCCCAAACCGATGCACGGAGCAATAAAAAAACTTTATGAGCCATGTATCGAATTGCCTGTCAGCGGCAACATCCGCCAATTGATTGGAATACAAGCGAAGGCAAAGCGCTTGCTTACGCTGCTCTTTGGAGCGCGTCCAAGGAAATGTCTCGTATGAACGAAAAGGCGCTCCGAAAGTTAATTCCCGAGGTGGGACTGTGAGCCGGAGAGGCACCGGCCTAATCCTGGACAAATAAATAAATACAACACGGCCAGACCAGGCAACATACACATCTCCTACAGGTTCATCATGATTAGAGACACCGCATTGTCTTACATGTTCTACATCTGCAGTATGATTAGATCAGTCAGGTCCTGAGGGGTTTTCTCAAAAAACAAACATTTTCCATATTCTACCAGCGGACTAAACACTCTCCCCTGTCTTCTAATCTCAATCCTTATCGCAGCCATATTCTCTGGCAAAAAAAAAGGCTTGAGGATTTAGCCAGCTGCTCAGTAAGTAATCCTATCACTGGCCTCCATTGTGAACATGTAAGGAGTCAAGGAGAGTCCAGGGGAGAGCTCAAGGCTGTTCGTCTTTATCAGCCGCTGTTCATCTCACACATCAGCGGCAACAACATGTGGGAACGACGGGGGAGGAGGGTGACCTTGACAGAATGTGTGTGTGTGTGTGTGTAGGTGCACGGTGTAAGAATGCGTTGCGGGCTTGATGCAAGTCTGATTTCAATCCATGCGTGTAATTCCGCTTTTGTAGATTTTAACACCAATTGCGAGATCCCAGCCAATAGCGATCCCCTAAAACCCTCCATCCTGCCTCTCGCCTCTTTGTTTATCTTTGGAAGAATGACCTCGCTCCGTTTCCCTCCTGCTGGCAGGGTGGACGTGAACGTTTACAAGCTGACCTTTTCCCCTCTTTCATCCTCTCCTTCTCCTTCCAGACGGACCTCTGGAGATGCCCCTCTTCCAGCTCATCCCCTCCCAGAGACAGCTGGTCTTCCACGGAGACCGGCTACCCCTGCAGTGCACCGCCTCCCGCCTGGACCCGTCGGTGGAACTGCGCTGGCATCACAACGGCGACGGCGTGACCACGCAGGAGGACCGGGGCGTCTATGTGGAGGAAACTCTGCTCCACGACTGCTGCCTGCTCACCAGGTATACGCTCGGGGGGGGGGGGGGGGGGGGATGTGAGCTGAGAGCTGATTAGCTGTTTTTGCTGGCCCGGTTGCGCTGACACACATACGTCCAAGGGTGTTGGTAAGTCCACCCATGCAGATGAAGGCAGAAATAAACACAAACTGCAGCCTCATTGTGACACATGCAGACACATATGTAACACACACACACACACACACACAGAGACGTCCTCCTGTCTATCCCTCACTCACCCATAGGGGCTGTGATTTACCTTTTTTGGTGTCGGCGCCCTTGATAAGGATCCGAGAGGACAGGACAGAATTGGCTTGGCGGCGGGCCAACACCTCAGAGCAATCTGCGCTCGTCTCCAGAGGTTAGCCGCACCCCGAGCGCCGGCGCTGGCTGATCACACGCTAAGGGGAACAGATGCTGAATCATAATTGCGGTGATAAAGTAGACTGGCAACACTGGTTCGGCACATTTCTCTTTTTTTTGTTGATAGAAGCCGCAAGCCTCCATCCTCTTCCTGTCTTTGTTTTCGTGGTGGTCCGCGGCTCGTACGAGCGTGCGTGTCTGTCTGTCTGTCTGTGTGTCTGTGTGTGTGTGCGTGTCTGTCTGTCTGTCTGTCTGTGTGTGTGCGTGTCTGTCTGTGTGTCTGTCTGTGTGTGTGTGTGTGCATGTCTGTCTGTCTGTCTGTCTGTCTGTCTGTCTGTGTGTGTGTGTGTGTGTGTGTGTGTCTGTGTGTGTTATAGTAAATGCATTTGATGTAACACTGTGGCAACAGGGCTCAGACGCAGCAGCACATTGCTGTTGATTAGTTTAACTGCTGCCTGCTCTGACTCGGCCTCGCTAACATAAATATTGCTGGAGCGCTGACAGAAATATGTATCTCCGTGTCAACAGGGCCACAATGCCTCTTGTTGTTTATTCGGCGACAAGAATGCCAGCTACTACTCGGCTCCGCTTATGGGGAGGGTATACCCGTCCCTTGACTGCCAACGCCACAGATATCAATATTTTTTCTTCTTCTTTTCATTATGTACCAGCTCACTGTTTGACATTCTCAGTGATCCCCCCCCCCCCCCCTCCCGGTGAAAGCACCGCCTTGAATAATGAGATTACAGGGTAGAGAGAGAACTTTAGGTGAGGTTTCAGTATGTCAGCAGTGATGCTCCGTGGCAATCTTATTGATGAATTCATCAACTGGGTCAGTGCAAAACTTTGTCATTCAGTACTTATTGCTTACCATTATCAACAGATTACTACACTCACAGTACAATTTTGAGGTACTTTTACTTTACTTGAATATTTCACCACCTTGCTATTTTACACTTAATTACCTCACTACAATTCAAAAAGAAATATTGCTCTTTTTTATCAACAGAATTTTATTTGATGGCTATATTTACTCAGTCACTTTATAACTCATATGCTAATAATATGTGAACGTTTTCTTGTTGACTTATGTGAAAGTTGCTGAAAAATGAATCGATGCGAGTTTAGATGAGATTTTAAATGCAGGACTTTTATTTGTAACGAAGCGTTTTTATACTGCGATTGTAGAACGTGAAAATCTCTGACTGCATGTCATAATCATCATCGCTATAACCACATAGAGATTCTGAATATCACTCTCAACACAGCTTATTAGCAGACATTAGACAGTAGACAATAAAACTCACTAATATCAAACACAACATCGCACAACAGTCGAGAGATTTAGGTGTGAAGTCACTGGCTTGATACTGACTGTAGAGAAATGACATGAACCCCTATTGTTGTTAATCATTGTACTGTAAGTAGAACTCCTTATGCAACGGGCCCTCTGTGTTAGCTGTGTAGCGACTGTCGGCTCCCGGTCCAGCCACTCTGCTTCCTCGGTGCCATCAGCACAAGCTGCATTGCTCCCTCCCCCCCCTCCCCCCTCTCAAAAAAACAGTTGACTCTGCTTTTCCAGCTCAGGGTCCCAACGGGACGTGATGAATTTCTCATTGCTCACATCCTGATTAGAGGCCCCCCGCTCTGCAATCACCCGCCGCTCTCCTGGCCTATACACAAATAATGCAGCTTTTCTCTCCCCCATGCAGAACCAGTCATGTTGCTCTTGGCGCCTGAAACGTCTCCCTCCTGGAGAGAGAAAGGGAGCAAGGAGCAGACATCATTTCCATAGCTGATGAGTGTGAAACGGAGCTCGGTCCAACAACAACACTCCGCCGTGCCTGGGCTGAACTTCACCCTTCAACCCTGAGCTCTGTCTAAATTGCAGCGTTGACAGAGACGTGCGGGGGGGGGGGGATTTAAAGTCCACTGGTCCAACGCTTGTTAAGACAAAAAAAAGGAAAAAGTAACAAATGTTTTGGCCTTTGACGTGCCAGACGCCGCCAGTGCTTATTTAGATTTCGCATTAGCCATTAGCGGCCCGCGCTGGTGTCGTTCACCTTGGACGGGTGTCCTCCGAGTCCGTCAGCCTCGCCCCGCACACCCCGTCGGAGGGGAGAGACTGAACACACAGGATTTAGCTCGCGGCTTAAAGCCCTCGTCTGGATTTGTCGCGCGCCGTTGCAGCAAAGCGAGCGGGGATGGCAAAGCCTCGCTGGTGTGACCTCTGTGAAGGTGAACCCCAAAAATGCTCTGCGGCTGTTTTTTCTCGGCCGAATTCGGCTCATCCCGCTTTAGGCTGCGTCGGGCAAACGGCCAGTTTAGACACTCAACAACACCACGTGATCCTCGCTCACCGTTTGTACCGTTTTGTATGCAGCTTGTCATACTGTACTGTATTCTCTCAGCGTATCATCAGAGCCTCTTATTCGCTGGTGCAGGTGGGCCGATAAGCTGATCCGTTTACGTTGCTCGGGGGGGGGGACCCGTTTACGTGGCTCGGGGGGGGGGATCCATTTACGTTGCTCGGGGGGGGGGTCCCATGAGGCCCGATGGCTCCGCGGCGTGGGCCAGACTCCTTCTGAGTAATGGTGTCAAGCCAAACCCCCGGTATTAGCTATGCTAGCGGCGGCCGTGGGACCGGCCTGTGATTCATGTTTCATTAATCAAACATTTCAGAGCCCTGTAGCTCGCTACGGCGGACTCTTTGCATGTATCTTACTTAATCCTCTCTATTTTTAATCAGGCTAATCTTGCACAAAACGATGAACCTGGTTTAGAAGTATCACTGAAGGCAGAGCAAAAAGGGAAATGTCTCTCTCTCTCTGCTCTCTCCTCCGTGTCTCTGCCGGTGATCTCTCTCCAGCTTTAATCTCTGCTCCTGCTTACAAACATAAACTGTAATTTGATTAAACTCTACCCACATATCTTTCTGCTCTTATTGCATCCTACTATGGTTTCTTCAAATCCCTGCCTCTGTTGTTTTTTTCGTTTTTTTCCCTCCTTTTCTATCATGAGTTTAGCGGCCGGTTTACAAGCTTCTGTGCAACACCAGTTGCCAAGGAAACCAAATTTGATAATGTCCACATATATGCAATTTTACCTTCCGGGTTCGTCCTTTTTTACTGTGCCTGTTTCAGTGAGTGAAGAAAAGTAAAAGCTCTTGGTTGCACGGGTTGGAGTTTAACAAGGACACAGCGAGATGTGAATGATTTAACAGTCGTTATGCGAGTGTCCTGAGCAGAGTAGTGAGTGGAGACAGAGCGGGTTAGGAGTGTGTACGTCTGTGTGCATGTAGATGCGTTCTACAGGCAGAATGTATTCCTCGTCTAAATGTTTAAGAAAGCAGTTTTAGCGTAGGTTAATGCCCCCCCCCCCACACACAAACTGTGACGGACTACGAATTCAACCATCAGCGAGCTGTGCGTTGGGCGGAGAGGACAGATTGAACGTTTACAGTCTCGTAAGCGACATTATGGAAACAAATTGTTGAATATCGGCGTGCGAGCGTAATCGCTCCCTAATGAGTTCTCGGGGAGCCGCTCCTACAATGGTGCAGTGTTGCTGTGGATGTAGGTCAGTGCTTTGTGTGGCCCTGCCCCACTGCGCACCACATACCGGGGCCTTTTTCCTTCATACGTTCATTTACGTGAGGATGACCTTTTTTTTTCTGTAAACCGGACCGGCCGTTGGAGCGCTTTTCCCTCCGCTCCCCTTGTCTTGTCTTGGTGCAGCGGTTCAACCAGGGCCGTCTGTGGCCAAGCTGCAGCAGGATTCGCCTCCTGTAGTGAAGCTTTCCTTCACGAGGCAACCGGGAGAGGAGTAGGAGAGTGTGTGTGTTGGGGTGGGGGTGAGGGGGTATTTCCCTGTGTGTTTCTCAGCATTCAGACAGTTGGCCCATGTACAGCGATGATGTAACTGTCCTCTCTGCAGACCGCTCATGGTCGAGAAGAGACAAGTGCAGCAGCTCTGTCGTACATGCCTGAATCACACAGTGGCAAGTACACATGCAAAACCACCAACCGCACCACCACCAGCATCATCATCATCACCATCATCATCACCACCAGCATCATCACCACCAGCATCATCACCACCATCATCATCATCACCACCACCACCACCAGCATCATCATCAGCATCATCACCACCAGCATCATCACCACCAGCATCAGCATCATCACCACCATCATCATCATCATCATCATCATCATCATCATCATCATCACCACTACCAGCATCATTATCAGCATCATCACCACCACCATCATCATCATCATCATCACCATCACCATCACCATCCATAACAATCTAATTCATCTGTTTTGTTTCATGCACTGGTGTCGCCGGTCATTATTTATTGTGTGAACATTCAACAAGATTAGTAAATGACCAAAAAGGTTGAATGACGCTTCAGCCCCTTTAATGTAATGAATAATAATCCCAAAATCGACACACCTCTTTGATGACTAGGAAGGAAATCAAGAGTTTAGCAGCAAACATTTGTCCATTTAAGTTTTAAGCAAAGTTGGAGTGTATTGTTAAATGCCGACATCATTTCTCTCTAGCTGGGGCTTCATTAATGACTCGATCACGAGTTAGTTATTGAGCGGTGGGGCTGCTATGTGTGGACACGTGGCGTTTGATTGTCAAGTATCATCTGCCCTCTGCAAACACGACAATAACAACTACATAACTATGACATCAAGCGCCGACAGAAAACAGACAGATGCAGAAATAGATAGAAAACTGATAGAGAGCATAGCAAAAAACAAACAAAACGACAGCTCAGATCTCTACAAAAGCAGCATCTTTAGTGAGAGGATATTTGAGCCCCGAGTCCTGCTGATAACAGCTCCAGTCAACCCCCCCCCCCACCCCCCCCGCTAACAGCCCTGCTAGCAGTGAGCAGCACCTGAGGGGCTTATTACTGTAGCACGTCACAGGTGGCCTCTCCCCATTGTTCTAAGCTCGTCTCTCGACGCCTGCCTCCACTTTCTCATTTTCACCAGTCTTCTTGTACCTCGACGAGGATGATGAAGCGACGCATTTGTAGAATGAGGCCAGGACACCGAAGTGGAAATGCAGAGCGAATAGCAGTTTACTCAAAGGTGAGCTCTGGAGTTTTGGACTTCAGGAAGGGCTGTGGAGCAGTTTTTCCAATACGTGGGTCCCTGTTTTGTTTGTCTCGTGCACGATGACGTGCAACTGCCAATTGTTTCTCAATATTCCGCTGATCTACAGGTGGCCGTGATGCAGCAATGCACCAGCAAAGGCAAGAAGACGGATTTTTAAGTCAACATGGTTCCCCATCTGAAGTAGTAGTATGGACCAATCACGTTCAAGCAGGCTTCGGTTAAACGCAGGTGAACCGTACGTGTGGAGGGCAAAAGAGGTGAAATGCATTGGCCGAAATGCATTCTGGGAACCCACCGGCTATCGTCTGACAATGATTTAGCTTTTTATTGGTAAAAAAAAAGCTAATGTCATTCATTCATTAGCATCATTTGGGACTAGCGCTATCCTTTGTACCCACGTTATTTACTCAGTTTTGAGTTTGCGAAGCGATTTTCATCGGATGACGGATTCAAAATATTTTTATGCAAAAACACCTACTTGGTGTTCAAAGGCCTTAACACTGAATGCAAACATAAATCTTTTTTCTGTACAAGAGACAAAATACCTTTAAAGTTAATACAACGTGCCTGATGTGAACGTGAACTCACCCATACGACACACAGAAGGTTACAATCGAAATGTGGACGATCTGATGATCTGAGGAATGAGAGAGACAGATACAGGAAAGTCCAGCGCCTGGTCATTCATTGGTGGGGTTACAGTGGGGCGACTGTCATTCTCCGTGGAGGTTATAGCCCCATCGGTTCCCCACCTGAGCGCTGCCTGTAAACCCACATTTATTTGGGTTTTTCACTAACAATCCCCTGCAACTGATCAGCTGTTTGTTTGTTTTCAATCTAGCAGAGTCTGTAGAGGAACGTCTCCAATGCTGAAATCCCTCAAGTTCCGCTTTGCTAAATCAGTAAGCAAAGTGGGAAGTGTTGGCTTTACGTGCAGTATTTGAAACATGGACATGCGCTACCATTATCGTTATCCTGCGTGACGATGAAAATCAGTTTGAGGTGTATCCCAATGAATTACCCTGTAGAATAGCAGTCCTGTGATGAGCATGACTGACAATAACCCTGCAATATGTCATGTTTAGATTAGGTTTTAGTAGACGACGTATGTCCTCATCGGGGTTCGTTATATAACTGTTGCACTGCACAGATGCTGACAGCTGCACTGAGCCCAGAGGGTTTCAATATAAAGCCCGTCCACACTTCACAACTCAACGTGTGGAGGACGACGTTTCACAGGGGGAGGGGGAGAAAGAGTGTGCGTGAGGCCGAATAAGCGTGTGGAAGACAGGTAAAAGTTAAGGACATCGTCACAGTCTGAGTGACTCATTTCTGCTATTGTGTGTCAAGACTCTGTGGAAATCCGTCTTAATGACAATACATCAAAAACGCTCCCGTCCAAACTATGATTGGTGCAAAAATCCTTTTAAAGAACAAGTCATTTTTAAAAATCTTTTTTTAGGACAACTGACAATAGACACATGCAATAACCGTCACATGTGTTCACAGACAGTCCCACACACACACACACTGGTGCTGTGGCCAAGAATGTCATCATCTCAGTCAAGCGTTCAAAATCTGATCGAGGGCCTTTTAGAAAAGCAATCAGAAAACAGAGCTTTAGTGGAACACAGAAGATGAAATCAGGACTTGTTTTATTCATTGGAGCAAAGACGCGGGGTCCGCTCGGTACAGGGGGGGTGTCAGCAGCGTTCTCTGATTTCTGCTCGTCTTCTCTGACAAAGCAGGCAGCAGTGGAGTTCACTCCTCAAACCTGAGCACAATGTGACTGTAGTTACACGTTAGATTCAAAACACTGTAGTCTGAAAGCATTTGACTGATGGACTACTGAAAGCATTGCCTCTGTATGACCTACGTAAGTAAACCAGACCATCAGAGAGAAGATTGGCTCTCTCTATGTAGTTATTCCTAATGCTTGTTATCGGTATCACCGGGTCGGATCGCGCGCAAAATCAGACAAAATCCTGCAGGTTGACCAGAAACTCCTTCAGCTCGGACTCCTTTTGTCCACAGGGACCAGCAAAGTCAACAGAAAATGAAAGTTCCTTGTAGGCTACTAGCTTCAACTACAGTAGTTATTTTACTCACTCCCACGAAGACTGATATTGCTGTAAGAGCAGTAAAGATACACGGGAATATTAATAAACCTATATTCTTATTTTTAGCCACGTGTGCAGTGTGTCTCTGGGGATGGCAATGTCAGTCATGTGCTTCGCCACTTTGATCTAAACTGAAATATTTAAAGAACTATCGAATAGATCGCCATTTAGTTTGGCTCTGACGTCCGTGGTTGTACAATTGTACAAACATTTCATCTGGCGCCATCATCCGTCCGAAATTTAAATTTGTATTATTTTCAATTTCAAACACATTTTCAACAAAGCAGTTTCACAGCCGGCAGAATCCAAGAGCGAAGCCTTCTGTCTTAAGTGCACTACTGGGGACTGATGATCAAAAGTCATACGGGGAGAAATCCATGGCAGAGGAGGCAGAGATGCCAATGTTTTGCACTCAATAGACCAGAATGCAATGCAGTCTTATTATGTTTTGATGCATGGTTGTCTCTCTCCAACTTGATGTGCCCTAGTTCTCTTCAGTAGTCCGGCGAGTTTGAAACTGTGTGAATGTGTTTGTGTTCATGTGTGGGTCCAGTGATGTGCTGGAGTGTTCCCTGCCTTTCCCCCAGTGCATCCTGGGACAGGCCCGTGTCTAAAGTAGTTGCTCTAGTCATGAGCATATTGAGACAGAGACGGGAGGCGAGAGAGAAGCAGACAAAATGAAGGCGTTTCATGTTTTTGAATAATATTTCTCTCACGTTCTCTGAGAAAAGGTTCTCTGGGATTACAGCTTCTCCATATGAGAGCCTCTCAGCCATTATCATCTTCACTCTCAACCATTGCACACTCTTGTCCGGCTGTCACTTTATCGTTTTTCAACTGTCGCACCTTCCCTTTTTTTTCTCCGAGTGTTCTTCCCTTACTCACTCTCATTTAAACACTTTTTACGGTATTGTGTGGGTATACTGAAAACACGACTTGAGTACACACAAAGCAGAGTATATTTTTTTGTAAAATAAACAGTTGGCATTTCTCAAGGAGGTAATATTGCCATGGTGATAATACCCGTTGCTTAGCAATCTCCGGCAGCTTTTATCCTCTTTTTTTTTTCTTCATAAGGAGTAAAATCCTCGAGATTAGTCGCCTTGGCAAATGGCCTGCATTGGCTCATTGTCACTGTTTCACCATCCGTTGTTTAATGAGGCATTTTCCATTGAGATAGGAATCGCTGTGACAAAGTAGGAAAGATAAGCATGAGTAATGATCATCTTGAGTCACGGGCAACATCTGAAGCAACCGCATACGACATGCGCACCAGGGTCTTCATGTGAACTGGATCTGTGAAGCGTGCACACACACATTTTCGTGGTCCCGTCCTGATGAGGAGCTTCCGCTGACTGCAGGATCCTTAAAGTGTTGCCCTAACCTTAACCCTCACCAATGACTAACTCTAATCCTTAGCCTAATCCCCCCCCAAAAAATAAAAAACACTTTAAATTCAAGACTTTACACAAAGATATTCCTCAATCTATTTAACCCTAAACTCAAGGCCAAATCCTAATCCAGCACCTTGTCCAAACCTTTTAAGACCATTTAAAGCGCATAGGAAGAAGATCGCCAACACACACACACACACACACACACACACACACACACACTACTGTAGACACACAATCCACACGCTCACAGTTTCACACCTCTGTTCTCCTCCAGTGAGGTCATCCTCTCCAACATCGACGTGGGCATCGCTGGCATCTGGGAGTGCCTGGTGACCAGTTCCCGTGGCAACGCTTCTCAGCAAATGGAGATCGTGGTTCTGGAGACGTCGGCGCCGTACTGCCCCGCGGACAGAGTCGCCAACAACAAGGGCGACTTCAGGTGAGTCACGCTCAACCCGTGGGAAATACGCTTATTCACTGTCTCGGCAAGAGTTCGATGAACCGGTTGATAAAACGCTCATGTTTGTACGGTATTAGAGTACTGCAAGGGGAACGCATTTCTTTCGGCCAACCCCGGAAGTCGACATCGCACTGGTTCCCTCGACCCGAAAGCTTCAAAATGTTAATGTTTAATGTCGTAGAAGACAACTTTAAAATCTCTTAAGCTTGCGTTAACAGATGTTGTTTCAGGCCTCTAACCACAAGATTCTTGACTTCGAATTGAGGGAACAAGTGAAAATATTTGAACCCATGTACGGTTCTAGGTGGTTCCTGCAGCACTCTATAATGTGTGAAGCTACTAAGTTAGCACAAAGACTGGAAACGGGTGCAAACAGCTAGCGTAGCTCAGTCCAAATGTAACAAAATCTCCCTACAGCATAAAACTCCACCATCAAACCACAACGTGTCATCTCTACGTGCCAGTTTTTGTACAAATTTAAAAAAATGTACACACTTAATTCGTGAGACTTTAAAGAAGTTGTTTTGCAGATTGTGCCACCTCAAACAGGACCAGGCCAGCTGTTTCCCTCCATTTTTGTATGTATCAAGCTAAGCTAGCTGCCTGTCCATCTGTCTGTAAATACACCATATCCTTGAATCAGAAGTAGCTTTCGTTTACCAACTAGTTCAGTGTAATTAGTGGTAACGGACAATAATCGCCGGTTTTCAAAGCTGAGACCAGAAGGTCTCCAACAAAATAAGGCAATAGTGCGCCCTATAATTTAGTCACCAGTCCTAATTACGGAGTCTACGTATAAAAATTAAGACTGTAATCAGTCCACTCACTATCTCTGCCATTATCACTACATGTACAGTGCAGTTGAGGAGCTTGAGTCTGCCTCTTGCTGCTGCTCTTTGTTCCACCTGACAGGAATCTGCCACACCTGGTCGGCCTCGCACCAGATGTGGCTCATTAACCGTAAAAAAAGAAAGAAAAAGGGGCCGGAGTTCTGTGGGTACAGTAGAGCCTGGACGGTTCATAGGGTTTAGTAATAATTGGATACGTGATATGAAAAACTCCCACAAACATTATGGCTCAATGTATTTCGGCTTCATAGCAAGACTGTAAAAAAGATGAAATAACAAAGAAAGAAGGTCACGTGTTCCTGTGACTCAGGTTTCACATGAAAAGAGGAACAAAAACGGCACACCTCCTCGCCCTCCATCTATCCTCCTGTTTTCCTGTCCTCCACTCTTCGTGAACACCTTGAAACCTTGTGGTCGTAACAAAACACTCTCTCGCCCATTCGCCCCCCCCTATGTGGCTCTGCCGTTGTCGTGTATGCTCCTTTTGTAGCCGCTGTACTTTACAGCCCACTTCCAGCACAGCGAGCGCCGGGGCTTTGTTTCTGCCGGAGCACTGGAGTAATGGGCTGGAAAATGAGCCCCCTACTTTGTTGGGGGGGCGAAATTAACGCCATTTATTACTAAGTAGCTGCAGCTGCAACACGGATGAGAGCGAGAGGAGGGGAGGAAAAAAAAGAAGAGAGAGAGAGAATGGGGGAGGGAGCAGCGAGATGGCAGCTCTCTCTCCCCTCAGAACAGATTACCTGCCTCCTGAGTGCGGAGCTCCTTTATTTTCATTTCGATGAAGGCAAAAGTGTTGCCGCTATGAGCATCACTTCAACTGCGTCTCTGCGGTGGGGTTATGGACGTCGCCTTAAGGAGAGAATCACACCAAACACAGGACGCGTGTTTCTCCTCTGATTGCAGACAAATTGATCGATATGTGTGAGAAGAAACAACTCTTTCCTTCAGGCCGCAGAGGCATCGACACCAGCGCCAAAGAAACCAAAAAAAAACCCCGAAGTTCTTTTTATTATCTGGGAAAGGGAGGCTAATGTAGTGGAGTGCGAATGTTCGGCTGACTTTTCACACTCAAATGAGCTTTATTTCATTGTAACACTAACAGGCCCCCCCCCCCACCCCATCACAGGTTGGTCAGTGGAGCAGCTCCAGGACTTGGCTCTTGACGACGTTATTGACAAAGTCTCATTTCTTGCTTCAGAGGAGACTTCATTGAACTTTGCATGGCCGTACGAACACCACTTGTAATTACTCCTTTAGGCTGAATCCTCCCCTTCAGGCAGGAGCAGGTTTCTCATTCTGTCTCTCTCTCTTGTTCCATCTGTGGCAATTTAGTAACTCGCCTTCATAAAGCTCCAAAAACCAAAAGCTACATTTCCCACAATTCAATTAGATCCCGGGCTGTTGAGTTCCAATGTCTTTTACCCTCCACGCCCCCAGTTTGTACCAAAAACAGTCTGTTGAATAATATTCCATGCCATAACCAAACAATAACCCCAATGAAAGACTTTAGGCAGCTCATTCAGAGCCACAGAGTACATTACACAGGCTGAGTAGTACTCCCCGTTCTTAAGTTCCATTGTGCACTAAGTGGAAACACAACAAAGTTGATTATTAAAGTTAGTTGATGAAGTCAGAATGCATCACCAAGACAACACATTGTTTCACAATCAAGTATCAGAATCTGCAGTCTTCTGCAAAAAAGAAAAAAAAAAAGTGATTAGAGTTAGCTGTAAATCAAATATGCAAATTAATAATTTCCTAAGCACAGGGAGGATGAAATTGCCATCTGGTGCCGCGAGTGAAGACTCCCAAACTCGCTCCATTGACTGATATCTTGTGTGGCAGGTGGCCAAAGACCTTGGCTGGCATCCTGGCCTTCCTGCCCTGCGCTCCCGCCGCCTTCGGCTCCACCCCCCGCCCGGCCGGCGGCAGCGGCCCTCACCTCTCCGGCCAGAAGGCGAAGAAGGCGTGGCGGAGCTGCGACCGCGCTGGACGGTGGGCCGAGGAGGACTACACTCAGTGCCCGTACGCCAGTGAACTGACCCGCGTGCTGCACGAGCTCACACAGGTATCTCATCCACACTTTGTTCTCATTGTCAGTGAAACCGTTCCAGCTTTTACCGACGTTCAGCATGTCGACTTTGACATATTTGCCGGCGCTTCGATAACTTCGTATTCCTAGAACACATAAAACAAACATCTCCGCCGATTCATCCGTAGCCTGCAGGTATTTGCACATCTGTACGCGTCAGCCTTTATGTACATGATGCGAGCCGACAGGCGGCGAGCCCGTTTCGTTCTGCGGTACTCGTGGGAATACAGCGCCACATTAAAGCGTTCAAAACTACACGCATGGCAGGAAATAACAGTAAGAGTGATTTATAATTGATTACATGTTGTCAAAGCTGTTTCATGTGACGACGGACTGTGTGATCATCTCCTGTTTGTGGACTCATTATGGCACCAAAATCTGGCCTCAAATTTCTTCAGTTGCCTTTTCAAAATCCATCTCAACAACTCTTCACATCGCCATAAGTTAGACTTAAAGTATAGGTCACTGTTAAAGCTGTCTGGAGTGTCACTCCTGTCATTTCTTTTTTCCCTAAACAGTGGTGAGGAACAACAGGAGTTGGCTTTTCATTAAAAACTACAGGGCGACTGGTGTATTAACTGCATTCCAAATGCATCAAAGCACACAAGGCCAAATTGCCGAGTTACTGTGTGACCGATTGCTGACGAGCAGTGCAGCATTTAAAAGGCAATTTTTGAAATGGAGTCTGGCGCCGCGCTCGCATGAAACGCCCCGGAGCTACATTACATCACTCTTAGCAAACGTCACGGAAAACAAAGAGGGCAGCTAAAAAAACACACAAAATTCGAATCCATCAGCACATCAGCGTGTTTGTAACCAGTATGGTGTGTGTGTGTGTGTGTGTGTGTGTGTGTGTGTGTGTGTGTGTGTGTGTGTGTGTCTGCACTCCGAGCAGAGGATATTAATGATGGTGTGAATTTGACAATGAACGTCGGGGAAACACTCGTCACCCTCTCTGAATTAATGCCGCCCGTATGCCTTTTGTATTCCAGATAACCGTCAACGCCACCAACGCTCAGCCTTTAGGCCGGCAGTTGGTGGCCTTCACCAGCAGGGCGGCGCACTTCACCGACGTCATGGACGTCATCTTCGTCACACACCTGGTGGAGAGGCTGACGAGGCTGGTGGAGAAACGCAGAGACGTGAGTGTGAGCGCACGCAAAGAGAAACGCCTCGTAGATCCAGACACGACAGTACGAAAGACGGCCGTTTCCTCTGAAGCACATGTTTCTCACACTGTAACTTACTGTACTCGCATCGTTAGCTGCTGCTCCTGTTTTGATGCGATGCTTTGCAGTTGATGAGGTTTATCGGGAAAAAAACTGTTCTTCCACTCCCGACGTAACGACGGCTTCTCGAGTGTCCCGGTTGAGCGAAACAGAAAAGTGCCCTTAAGTGGACCTCAGCGTTAAAAAGAGACGCGGCGACACGCTGTCGCTCTGGCTCCAATCCTTCAATTCATTCCAGACGGCTTAACTTTTCACCTCCTGACATTTTCCTCCCGCCCGCCACAGCGTTGGACCAGAATGCCGATCACGGTCATGAAGACGCATCTCTTTTTGAGCAAGTTTTACCTCAAGCGTACCTCCCTCACGTTTTTGTGTCCACAGGCGATTGGGGGGGGGGGGCTTTACGTCACGCCGAAGGTCGGGTTGTGCGAGGGGAAGGCCATTGAGCTCAAGTTGGTGAAGAGAATCAATATTAGCTCTCACTTGTCCAATTACTCATCATGGGTCACCCGGGAGGAGATATTATGAGGAGATACTTAATGTTTTATCATTCCTGGGACAATGCTGATGAGACCACCCTCATTCATCCAATAAAGAACAGTCGAACGAGGCAACAATGAGAAGTACAGTAAGTAAATAGCAAACTGCCATCCCAGGGAAGCGATTAGGCCCCATCGGAGCCGCTAATCTAAATTAAATCTCCCCATAATGAATGAAGCCACCATTTGCCTCCCTTCCAATTCTGACTGGAGATTATAAATGTGCCTGTAGTTGCGGATGTGATTGATGTGCATGATGAGTCTGCCTCCTCCTGTGTGTGTGTGTGTGTGTGTGTGTGGGCTTCGTACAGTACAGTTTGTGCCGTTTTGTCTCCGCGCACTTCATTTGTGACACACGTCTGCTTGCGTCTTCACAGCTGGGGGACTACATCTCGGACGTAGCCAGCAACATGATGCTGGTGGAGGAGCACATCCTGTGGATGGCGCAGAACGAGGCGCGAGCGTGCACCCGCATCGTGCAGTGCGTGGAGCGCATCGCCGACCTGGCGCTGAGCGGAGACAACCAGGTCATTTCCAAGGTACATGGCGGGCACACACTCACTCAGCCGGGGGCGAAGGTTGATTATCTGACTAAATGTCCCGTAGCCTTACCTTGTCTCGCAGAGAAGTTAATTTGGCTTCAGCAGATAGCTCGAATGAGGCGAGAGAAAGAGAAATTGCTTCCTTTGTTTCTTCTCGCTTCCCCCTGTCTATTATTCTCCCTCTCTCTGCTGTCGCTTGGGATAAAAGCATCTGCTTAATGACTAATATATAAATCTCTTCCGCCGCCGCCCAACTTCTAATTCATGGCCTCCCCCCCTCCCTCACCCCAGGTATCTGCAAACATCGCTCTGGAGGCCTTCCTTATCCGGCCGTCTAACTTCCTCGGACTGTCCTGCACGGCTCTCCAGCGGCCCTCCCCCTCGTCTGCCACCTCGCCCCCCCCCGCTGACGGCCGCTCCCGCACCGACAAGGACGAGAGACGAGAGCGCGACGCCGCGGGGGAGTCGTTGCTCAACTTCAAATGCCACACTGTCAACAACAGCGGCTCGCCGGCCGGCCAGCTCAGCAAGGTAGGGTGCCGGTTTAATAAATGGGGTGAAACTTTCTAAAATGTGCCGCTCCGTGAATCCACCGAATCCAGCCCGAGGTCAGGAAACAGCGTTCTCTGACTGCTTCTCTTTGTCACTCCCAGCGGGTTTGAAAGACCACAGACTTTTGTATTTCCTGACACTGTGTTGAAAATGCAGGAGTGAGAGAAGAAGGGGGACAAGATGTTCTAATAGAGAGAGAAATAAAATATGAGAGGGGGGAGAACGGCTTGTACAGCCGCTCGTGGGCACGGTAAAATGAATTCTCCAGCGCCACACAGGTTGAAGCATGCGGTTAAGGATTACCAAATGCCCCCAAGTCTGTTGTCGCCTATTTGTCCCGGCAAGGTGACGCCTTGTTTGGGTTTGTTGGCACGCCATAGATCAGCCGGCGATAGGCGGGGTCGTAGCGGGGGCAGGGCCTTCAAACACGACGGCCTCTACTCCACTGTGATGAATAAGATGGCCTTGCCTCCCTGTCACTTTAAATCAGTTGCGGCTCCGTTTGTGGCCATTTCAAAAGACAAACGGCACGGCGAAGGGGGGGGGGGGGCAGGCGAAACATTCGGCTCCCCTGGAACTGAAGTGGCATAGTTCTGCAACATGTGAAACAACATGTTTGCGCCCTCTAGCTATCCTCTCCACTGATGAATTCGTCAGCATGCATGTGAGCGTACCCCATCTGTGCATATTAATGCGTATCGGGGGGGGGGTCCATTGGTGTGTGTTTTGTCTTTCAGTCTGGGCGCTAATTCCATTTCCCTCATCCTCTTCTTCTCTGGTGGGACGTGTGTCAAGAGTGCGTGCATGTATGTGTGCATGTGTGTGTGTGCATGTGTGTGTATGTATGTATATGTATGGGTTTCTGGAAGCTGAGTCGGCTGCATCACTTGGAGGACAGTGCTGTGTTTCTAGAGGCCGCTGCGCAAATTAGGTCTAAATGACTTCTTGATGATTTCCAGATGGACTTTGTCAAATTGCAACGCAAATGTGGAGAAAACATTTTTCTTGGTTAATAATAAAAAAGCGTATCTCCGGGGCTGACAGGTTTCTCTGCACTTCTAAAGTCGTGCTCGTCTTGGCACCGCGTGTCCTTGAGTAGAATGTTTGAATGTGAAACTGTCGGAGGATTTGTCTTTTCACAAACTGTAAATATGAGCGGACGCTCTTCAGGGCTTCTAATCACTGCCTAACCTCGAGGGAGAGGCTTTGGTATTAATGAGTTCTTCATTTTGGCCGTCGCCATCTTTTTTCTCTTCAACCAGTAGTGACACGAGAGGGTGCAATAGATCGTTGAATTTGTATATGACCAAAAGATTACAATTAACTTTCATGAAGTGAAAACACACTATGAACTATGAAAGCGATAAAAAAAACACAGACAACGCTGTGGCAGCGACCTGTCAATCACAAGGTAGCCCCGCCCTGAACCCTGCTTTATGGTCCATTTGACACTAAACGGGACCGTCGTTTGCTAAATGAACATCGGCTTTGATGAAAAGCGCGAGGTGAAGAAGTGTAATACTGTTTCCAGCTCATTTAGCATGCAGAGTGAACACAGCTCGTCCTCCGGGGCGATTCACACTCTCCCACCTACGAGCTGCCCAGCTTCCACAGCTCCCGCCCCTCTGGAACCGTTGTGTGGGGGGGGAGAGCGAGAGAGCACTTTAATTGTAATCGTTGAGGGACACGAAAGTGACTTCAACAGCCTATAAAAGGGCTCTAATCTATTCAAGGTATCGCCCCCCCCTCCCTTTCTCTCTCTACCGTTCACAGGGCATGTGGGAAAGACTTCGCCAATTACTGATAATATGAGAAAAGTCTCTCAGGACGAATCCTTTAGCAGATGCTCCGTCTCAATCACAGACGACTTGTGCTGCTGGGAGTCTGAATCAGACCCCAATATTTTGACATGTTATTCTAACCAAATGGTCTGTGAATAGTCGCTAAACAGGAATCCCACTCATTCACCTCAGATGTCACGTGTTCAGTACATATGGAATCTCTTGTGTCTTTTTACAGGGTGGAAAAGTTCTCAAGATCTCTCGCTATCAGGAAGTCTTTCACCTCCACAGTGAGTTGGTTCTGATGCCTCACAATAGCGTCGGCTGAGGGTGTCTCGACTCACATTTTCTCCTTATCATATATTTGAATGCTGAAAGAGTTCAAAGTCAATACGTTTGGTATATCGGGAGCTCGGAAATAAATGCAGATGCTGCACACACACACACACACACACACACACACACACGCACACACTCCCGTATGACTCATCAGTCAGTCTGTCTGACGCTGCTCAGTTTACCAGCTCGCTGTGAAGGCTGCAACAGACACACAGCACCACCGCTTGTTATCGAGCAACGGAGATAGTACAAAGATACAGACGGGCAGGAGAGAAGGGCTAATCTGGGGGAAAAGAAGCCCGAGTTTGATGGCATCACATAATCATAAATCTTTTTTGTGTTTTTATTTATGCCTCCACGCCGGCGACCGCCGTGGACGAAGGCGACGTATTTTCAGGTTGTACTAGCGTTCTCACAAATGTGATATCTCGGGAACGTCTTGAGGGAGATTTCTTCAGACTTGGCACAAACGTCCACCTGGACTCGAGGATCAACTGATTTAGATTTTGGAGGTCAGAGGTCGAGGTCACTGTGACCTCACGTCCGTCTCATTCCTGTCGAGGCGATATCTCGGGAACGCCTTGAGCGGAATTTCTTCAGATTTTTGGTGATCGAAGGTCACCTCCCAAAACACCTTTTGGGCCATAACTCAAGAATTCCTATGTTAATTAGGACAATTCCATGTCTAATAGGTTAAAAATGATGAAGTGATGACATTTTGGGCAGAAATGGATGCAAACTGCAATACGACCAAGAGGCAGTAATTCATGTTAGCCAAAGTAGGTCCACATGTCCGTTAACTGTCAGACTGTAATTTGTAATTGAATGGTATGTACAGTAAATCAAGATGGAAGTGAAGTGAAAGTCGGAGCCTGTGTGATGTCGACAGACACATCCTCATGGAGCTCAAGTGTCGCTGCCAGCGGCGGAGTGTCATTAACTAGAACGGTGGCACGCAAACTTTTTTCAAGAAGGGCTTTAAAAGTGATTAATGGGCCAGCTCCTTAAGAAAACCTGCAGACTGCCCCATAAACTGGGCTCCTTTTCCAGACCCCCCCCGTTCTCGTGTAACTGGCTGAATGGCTGCTGAGTGATCTGCTCTCCGTCTCACTCTGGCAGACGCTCAGCACCGTTTAGAGCCGTTTGGGTCCAACTGGACTAAGACACACAGCATATGGCCCCACTGTGCCAACACCTCGCCAAAGAGTGGCGTGATAAAACACAGCCGTACGACACCGGCGCCTTGTTTGTCTCCTGATTGACTTTTTGTTTTTTTCCACAGAAACGTTTTGTCAGATTGTTATAGAGGAAGGTCAAAAGAAAGAGGGGACTTTCTTCCGAGTTTTAATAATGAATAATGTATATAAATATATCTTTTGTTTTGCAGATTCCAGCAAGATTTGTATTTTCACATGTCTGCGTATGGAGTATCTCACCCACGTATTAATATTACAACATTGCACAAATGCAGTGTATGTAAATGGAAACACATTATCCTGTCGTCACTGAGGCATTTACTCGGTTGCATTTGATGGCAGATTCATATTTAGCGCATACTGTTTCAAAGGTCTGCGTACAGCCTAATTGGTAGGGGGAAATCTGACACAGCGAAGGCTTCGCTTATTGAACGTTCCCAAACAAATTCCCCATCAGAACTCGTACGCGTTCTCTGTCTTCACACACTTCACTAGAAAGTTGACTTTGAGCTGTTGCTGTTGTCACGAAAAAATGAAGAGAAGAAGCTCTCTTGTGTGCTTGAGCTGAAAAGGAGCAGGTTAGGTGATGTTTTCAACGCTAGGTTGTGTATATTCCAGTGATTGACAGCTGTCACGGGGTATTTGTGGTGCAATTGGAGGCATTTTATTTGAGTATTCTAAATAGTCTTAGGCGTTGGTTCCCAGGATATTTACATCAGAAGAGAGAGATAATCCCACGGTGCACTTAAACATACACACATGTACAGTATATATGGCAATATATGAGGTGAGGGAAGAGGAATCTTCCCGTTGTTTCTGGTGTATTGTTATGGGAAAGTGGAACTTTTAGATCAATTTTGAGGAGGCCCAATGGTTTGCATGTTCAACGTTTTATTGTAAGTGTGTCATGCAGTGTGGAACTCGAACTGGTCTGGTCTTGATTGGTTTCAGCTCTTCAAAGTCTTGGTCTTGTCTTGGTCTCGATACACTCTGGTCTTGGTCTTGTCTCGGTCTCGATACACTCTATTCTTGGTCTTTACTTGGTTTCGATACACTCCGGACTTGGTCTTGACTTGGTCTCTAACCCTCAAAGTCTTGGTCTTGTCTTGGTCTCGATACACTCGGATCTTGGTCTTGACCTGGTCTCAAAGTCTTGGTCTTGTCTCTGTCTCGATACACTCTGGTCTTGGTCTGGACTTGGTCTCAGTTTAGGTGGTCTTGACTACAACACGACCAAGTGACCATGGTATGGGCAAGATAATACCCTCCAAGTTGTACATTGTGGGCCACAGGATCTGAGGCCTCCACATCATCCATAAAAAAAAAAAAAAAGAAATACAAGACTTGGCATTTTTCTTTTACACTAAATGATGGAAAAATTAAAAAAAGAAACAAACTCTTCAGCTTTCTGTCAGTCATCTCATGACCCCTCAGTTGTGTCTCGGGGTGAGTCCTGACATTTAGTTATTTGTCAGCCGGCTTTGTGCTCATTGACGTGCATCAGTTATGGACTCAGTCAACATATTTGAAATGTACATTTCTATACATCGACAGATCCGATGTCTGCCTCACATCCAAAACAAAACCTCTAGGATCGCAATTACAATGAGCTTTTGAAAAAGCACCTGTTCTTTTCCCCCGACTCTCGTCTGATTACTGCGCG